TTTCGCGTTCACCCCTCGTTTACACAATTTATATAAGCAAGTCTAATCTTGGTAAATTTGTAAAAAATGCTATAAATGACAAGCCCAATTTTTTAAATATTTTTTTTATATATGCAGACACCTTGGGTGAACCTCAGTCAAATTTGTTCATTTTGTGATGGTCTCTTCAAGTCTCTAATTTTATTCAATATTTGCGTCATATTTGAAAAAATGCTATTTTTTTTACTGAAAATTGCTGGTATGATTGATTGACTTGATATTTTATATGTACATGTATGTATGTACTGTTAACAGACTTCAGTCAGATTTAATGTGATGATACTTTCAATGATTGAAAGATTGTTGTTGAAAATTGCCTAATTGCTTCAATGCCTTGTGTGGATCTCTCCCAGACTTGTTGATTTCATAACAATAACTTTTGCTCTAATTTTAGGAGCATTTTTTAGTGAAAGAAAACTATTTCTGACAGCTATTTGAAAACCATTAGTCGATTGTTTTTGATTGTTCATAAGTAGGAACCTTAGATGTCAGATATTTTTGTTATCTTGAAAATGGCTATGCATCTGACACAGTGGAGCTACATCAGCCAACCATCTTTGCCAGCAATGGTCCATTTATTCAGCAGTCGCCTCATCATTATACCTTGGCAGAATTCCTACTATAAACCCACTATAATTGTTGGCAACATTTGTATCAATGATTTGAAATTTGCATACCCTGTTTGTATATATAGACAGTGACGTATGGGTGAACTGTGCCATGTTGTATTTAGCCATGAATAAGGCCAATTACATTTTTTAAGGGAGAGGATAGGTGATGAAAATAACCACACGCTTAATATAATGAAAAATATTCATGGAATTCCTGCATCAAGTAACTATGGATAATCCTGTGGTTTGAATATAATAGTAACATTATGATCTTAAAATGATGTAGTCTTTCTTGACAACGTTATTTGCAGGCATCGAAGGACAAGAAGAGACAAGAAGATTTAGAGAGGAAACTTGCCAAGAAACAACTCCTTGAAGAAGAAGAAGCTGCTCTGGCTAAAATTTCGGCGAAGCCACAGTCGACAAAATTGACAAGAACTGAAATTCAACAAGAATTAGAGAAACAAGAACAGCAAAGAAAAGGTTTGTAGCTATTTCACAATGAACCTACATAAAGTGTTCAAAAAAAATGATTTAAATTTGTAACCTTTTAATTCTCGGTCTAACATTTTTTTGTAAAACATAGATGAAAAAATAATTATTATCAGAAAATATTTTCAAAAAAATTTTTTTTCAATAATAAATTTAATTTCATCAGAATTGCATTCATCGTCGTTTCGCTAAGTATGACTCCAGTGCATGTTCACAACACATCATTTTGCAAAGCAACGATTCAAACAAAACAGGAATTTCAATCTTTTCTGTTCACAACATAAACTTATAAACACATCATTTATCTGTATTTATACTTCAATAAAAATAGAATATCAATTCTAAAATGTTTCGTATCTTCTTTATGCTGTTCGTTAGAAATCTAAAAATTTTCAACAAATATTTTCCTACACTATATTGCATATTTTTTGTTACTTCACAGAAAAAGCAAAACGTAACATTAGTGTTAATGAAGACCCTCTTGAAGAGAACCCTAACATACCTCTAGAAGAAGGAGCTGTGGAAGCCAGATCTGTTGAAGATGCCATTGCTGTACTCAGGTAGATTTCCCTTAAAACTGAGATTGTTTATTAACCCTCTTGAAAATTAAATCCCATTCCTATGTGCATCAATAGAAACTGCACATATTATTTATAGTGATTTTATCTGTTGTCAGTTTGATGCACAGTATTTTTTTAGTCCTGGTAAATTTCAGTTTGTCAGTTTCAACTATTGTCAGTTCAGTCTGCTTCCCGCTGTGAAAAAAATAGCTGAGCTTAGTCTGCTATTCATTTGTGAGAAAATGTAGCTGAGCTTTGTTTTCAAACTGCTGTGAGAAAATGTGTGCTACCCACTGTGAGAAAATGTAGCTGAGCTTGGTTCTCCAACTGCTGTGAGAAAATGTCTGCTACCCACCGTGAGAAAATGCAGCTGATCTCTCGATTTGCAACCCACTGTGAGAAAATGTAGCTGAGCTCTCTGTTTGCAACCCACTGTGAGAAAATGTAGCTGAGCTCTCAGTTTGCAATCCACTGTGAGAAAATGAAGTTGGGCTCTCTGTTTGCAATCCACTGTGAGAAAATGAAGTTGAGCTCTCTGTTTGCAACCCACTGTGAGAAAATGTAGCTGAGCTCTCTGTTTGTAAGCCACTGTGAGAAAAGATAGCTGAGCTCTCTGTTTGCAACCCACTGTGAGAAAATGTAGCTGAGCTCTCAGTTTGCAACCCACTGTGAGAAAATGAAGTTGAGCTCTCTGTTTGCAACCCACTGTGAGAAAATGTAGCTGAACTCTCTGTTTGCAACCCACTGTGAGAAAATGTAGCTGAGCTCTCAGTTTGCAACCCACTGTGAGAAAATGTAGCTGAACTCTCTGTTTGCAACCCACTGTGAGAAAATGTAGCTGAGCTCTCAGTTTGCAACCCACTGTGAGAAAATGTAGCTGAGCTCTCAGTTTGCAACCCACTGTGAGAAAATGTAGCTGAGCTCTCAGTTTGCTACCCACTGTGAGAAAATGTAGCTGAGCTCTCAGTTTGCAACCCACTGTGAGAAAATGTAGCTGAGCTCTCAGTTTGCAACCCACTGTGAGAAAATGTAGCTGAGCTCTCAGTTTGCTACCCACTGTGAGAAAATGTAGCTGAGCTCTCGGTTTGCAACCCACTGTGAGAAAATGCAGCTGAGCTCTCGGTTTGCTACCCACTGTGAGAAAATATAGCTGAGCTCTCAGTTTGCAACCCACTGTGAGAAAATGTAGCTGAGCTCTTAGTTTGCTACCCACTGTGAGAAAATGTAGCTGAGCTCTCAGTTTGCAACCCACTGTGAGAAAATGCAGCTGAGCTCTCGGTTTGCTACCCACTGTGAGAAAATATAGCTGAGCTTTTCCCTTTACCCCCACCCCCCACCCCCACCCCTTGTGAAAAAATGCTGAGCTTAGTTTACTATCTGTGAGAAAATATATCTGAGCTTGGTCTTCGATCTGCAACAAGAAAATATAGCTGAGCCCGGTCAGCTTCTTGCTGAAACAATTGTGCTAAAAAATCATCAAACTCAAACATTTATGGATGGATTTTGCTCAAACTTGGTACATACATTGCACGTTGGACATTATGCAACCTTGATGCACGTCATTTTATTTTATAATGGCCGACTGGTGGCCATTTCGTTTTAATGAATGCACTTTTAGAGCCATATCTCTGATGTGCTTTGAATGATTAAGTTCAAATTAAATATATTCGTTTTACATCATGTTGTAGATATATAGATGTATTCAAATGGCCAACTACATGTAGTAGCCATTTTGTTTTAATTAAGGCTGTTCCAGAGCAATACTGGTTTGACAATCAGATACAAAATGTCAATCATTTTAGTGCTAAAAAAACATCATAATCAAGCATCATTTTCTGGATCCATACTTCTGACAAGTTTATGTTCCAACTATATTACTATGCATTTTATAGTGCCATTGTATGCGTGACATGTATTTATAAATAAGGGCCAAAAAATAGATATCTATTTGGTGCAAGGTTTCTTGAAACAATAATGTGGTGATGCATTTTGTTTCTCATCACACAGTTTTGATTCTTCTTTCGTTCGTTTTTTTTCCCTTTTTTTTCATATATGCCGAAAAAAATGTATGATTGGCTCATTTGAAACTGATTTTCTTTGCTCTAAACACAACAGTGCTGTGAGTGTCTTTGTTTTAATATTGTAAACTGTTATTAGTTGTTTACTTTTCTTGAAATTCATTATTGCAGTGTTAAAGAGTCTCAAGTTGAGAGGCACCCAGAAAGAAGGATGAAAGCTGCTTATCAAGCCTTTGAAGAAGAAAATCTACCAAGATTAAAAGCTGATTTTCCAAATTTCCGATTATCACAACTGAAGCAGATGTTGAAAAAAGACTGGATGAAATCACCAGAGAATCCAATGAATCAAAGAAGTGAATCTTATAATAAGAAAAGATGATCAGACACTTATAAAATATTATTATTAGAAACACTTGCATCTTAATGTTTCATATCACGAGTGGGGTCAACTTCATTATGCATTACTTACTATGTAAGAAAATCAGCAGCTCTGATTATTTGCTTGCATGCATTTGTATCTTTGGTTTTCCAAAATCTAGCAAAAGCAGAGATCTTTTAACCCCAAAGGCTTGCCGAACGAGTACATCATTTTTGATGTTATTTTTGGAGAATGTTTGTATGTAACATTAATATAAAATGCATTTGAAGATGGCGAGATTGGTAGTATGCATTAAACACAATTGTCATTATTCGTAACATTATTTGTCGATCCATACTAAAAATACATGTATGTTTCCACATGTTATGTACTGTAAGGGAAGTAAATAAAAGTTTGTATTTACATGTACAAGTGGTGCCATCTTTGCTTCAGCTTCAGCTTCTTTGTTTGAGGATTATGCCAGTTGTATTTGTATGTTAACACTGGGGTAATAGGGATAATAATTATGGCACATGTATATCAATGATGGTTATATCTGTCTATTCAAAATGGTCGCTGTATCTAGATTAGATGTAAAGTTGATTATCCCAGCAAGGCTTTTTATATACTTTTGATTCCCCATAATGTCATTTTCAGTATTCGTCTATTTCAGCAGTTCTAGCTGGACTGGTGACTTCTGAAATTCTTAGTTAATAATAAACTTTGTTGCAAATTCTGGCCTCACTAGGGAGTAGGTTGTTTAACATCTGTTGAGCCAAATTCGGCCAGGCCTATTCTAAAGTTAGAAGACTTTGAGGGATCAGAAAGGTTCTGCTACTTGAACCACCCGCACACACCCACACAACAATGGACCCTCCTTATAGACCTTTGCTCATAAATTCCAACTAAGATGTCTTTGAGAGTGAGATAGCTGTCCAAAATAGTGTTTAATTTTCAATCATCATCGTGTCTAATGATTTTCTGACCTATGTAACCATGGTATCTAGAAAAGTAGACATGCTAGTGAAGGAGAATGAAACGTTATTTGGGGGCAACAAACAAACAAACAAGTTGCATACATCTTTCTCTCATTCTCAACGACACCTCGGCGGCCATTAGAGTCAGGAGAGTGACCATCCTACCACTGCTCTGATCTAAAGAAACTTGGGGTTGAGTCCTGAATGTTGATACTGAAAAAAAATGTCTCTTAAAATTGAGGAAGATGTTGCACCTTTACTGTCATCTTGCGAGATGTTCGGGTGAATTCTAAGACAAATTCTGGAACTCTCTTCTGGTAGTTTTTGACCTACCTACAGTCAGGGTGTCATTCAAGTTAATTGGCAATATAATAGTGTGATGTCACCAAGTGTTGATTTAAGATTACATAATCTACACTTGACTTTGAATCTTGTAATCTGCCGCAAGGCTAAAGGTTCAAGGATATATGAAGTGGCTATATGTGAAATTTGATTATCTAAGCTTGTGAAAATACACTTTTTAAAATTTTGTTATTTCTGACAAAAAAAAAATCACAATGAATTCTTTATTTCGCATTTTTGCTAATTTCTGTAAATTTTTCTTAATCTCTGCATTTTTTTTTTTTTCGAAAGAAATACTAGTAACTAGTAAACATCGGTGACTGTACACGGGATGTTGCATCATTTATCATTGTGATGTAATGTTACTTCCAATGGTAGGCTCATATGGTTAATATTACCAATTTTTTTTTTTATCGGATATTATGTTGCAGCGATATTCATTTTGTTATAATCGAAATAGAAACCTAATAACCTAGTTGGGACCTTTGGTATTAATAATTAATACTTTTAATCATATGCTTTCAAAGGGCGGCAGTCGTTCGATATGGGACTCGTATAGCGACGTATACAACGCGTGTAAAATACATTGTTTATTTATATGAAATTCGAACACGCGCTGCGCGATGACCACCGCGCTTTAATCATAGGTAACGACTGACTGGAAATATGTATATTCTTCATAAGTTTCCAACTGGGACTAGTGGATGTGCAAGTACAGGCGATTAGCTTTAAATTTTAGCCCATACTAGAGTGAAACCTGATCACAACTTTAGTGTTCATTTCGTTGCAGCAATCTTTGTATGTGTATATTAAGATAACACTCAAGATAACATAGTCTTTTATTTCTATATTTCAATATGCAAATGAAGCTGCTCCTTGTCAAGTGCTGCTTATTTGAAAACTTGTAAACAATTTTGAATAATAATAATGTCGCTCCAGACATTTGGAAAATACAAAATTCTTCCAATCACCGATGGTCTTGTATATGAAATTATAGTGCGTATACACCTGATTTCAGGCGATGAAACAATCCCACATCCAACCTACCCTACATATCTTGTTGAACTGCAAGCAATGGATTCTTTTTTTTATTGTAGATAAGGTCTTTGCAAAATAATCTGCTCTTAATTCACTTCGTAGTCTAGTGCAATGGTGGTCTTACGTGATTAGAGCAGAAATTGTAGTAATTGTGTTTTACTAGGAAATGAATGCTCGAATATATATCAAAATAAAAAATGCATATCGAATAAAATTAGGACATGACAAATTCAACCGACTTTCGTGAAACACAAGTTCGTATCTAAATCACTTCTCATATCTCAGATCTGTTTACCTCCACTGCCCGGCTATACTGTATTATTAATATACTGAAACATACATAACATTAGGGGCATACATAAATACGTGTACATTTCTGTTAGGCTGATAATTTTTCATCGACTGCCGCTAGTTTGTTTATATCATTTCTGGAATCGCTTATACAACTCACCTGAGAATTACTAGTAACCAACAGAAAGAATAACAACTTGAAATCGCAAATACAAAAGACTACACGACGAATTCAAAGTATTGGAAATAATAATCATTTTATTGGGCCTTAGTATTTAAACTGCTAAACTTTATTTATTTGACGTAATGATGTAGTTGATGTGATAGGAGTCGCACTGGAACTTGCAAAAGAAACAGCTTTAAATCCTTCTTCGGGAATTTGATATCACGCACTTCCTGATGATAAGTTTCACAGCATTCTCAACCCTCAAACCCCAACGATTTGATCTCTAAGTCCAAAGTCTAACCGGGGGTATGGTGTAAATTCGTAGACGAAGCAACCCCATTGATTGGTCATGTCATACCTTCGGAATTGAAATTAAATTCCATATCTTCTTTGTTGCTAACAACAATTACTTCATCTTCATCTTTCATATATGCACTCAATTAGGTAGTCAAACCTTGCTGCATTAAATGGTGTGCGTGAAAAAAACAGAAGCAGTTCCATTGCGATTGCGATTGCCACAATACACTACACTTTCGATAAACGGACTATCACAAACTCTGCCGCCTCGTTTTAACAGCTGTTGCACCCAAACTATATAGCGGTCTCTGCAAGTCAACAATACATACTGACTAACTTTAAAGACGGTAGTCGTCGTGCCGCGCATGTGCGACATTTGTGTGGATAAACATTGATTTTCCCACAATCCAGTGCGCTTTTTTTAATGAAATCACAATTACCTACCAATCACCAACAAAAATACTAAATTAAAGCTTTTTATCATCTCAGTTTGTAATCGTTGGTGTGCGCAGTCAAAAAAATACAGTCAAAATCGCCATCTTTGTTAATATGACCCATATCTCGCGCATGCGTGTCGCGACGACCACCGCCCTTTAAACTGTAAATGGAGAAGTACATTTGTAAAACAAACTTTAATCTGGAGTAGTAGCCTAAGGACAGATTACACAGAAAGTTAAATCTGCCTCATTTGTTTATTTGTTGTTATAATCATAAATAAGGGGCAACACAAAAATATAAGAACTCAACATGGAGTTACTCTGCCCACTTTGGATGAATTGTATGTAGAAGTTGCAGATTTCAAGACTGAATTTCTTGGACTTGGCATGTGGTAGAAACAAATGATCATACAATCAAAAACAGTTCTCATTGTCACAACAATCAATATGTCGAGGAGCGAATATGTTTAAACCACTTCTATCGTTGATATCATGGTGAATGTGTTTGTGTTTAAATTAAGAGTATGTACTTTAGACAACTTTCAGAGGCGGGTATCCAATATGTCGATGACCTGTTCTGTGATACTTGTTTAAATGGAATGAAGTTGAACTGAAAGGAATTGCTTTTTTAAAATGGTATGGCGTTTTGTTATCACTGCCAGCTAAGCGGAAACATATATTGACATGTCGCATTTTACTGTTTTAAATCAAGATATAATGTTGAGTATTCAATTATTGGAGCACACAATCATCTAAATCAGTGTAGTGCTCAGTTAGTGGTTTTAGGTATAGTGAATCAATACTTTATTTCACCAAGATCAGAAATAATTTTGTGAAAGTGATGAATACCTATATAAATAAATGGGAAAGCATATATTTATCGCCATTTAAACGTAAAGTTTATTCAAAGCTCAGAGAATGTCAGTGCAAAATTACACACAATATCCAGCCCACTAACACGGTTATATACAAATTGACACCACCAAAAGTTATCTCAAGTGCATGTATCTTCTGTAAAGAAAGCGATGAAACATTGCTCCGTCTATTCTGTAAGCAGGTTTTGGAAAGTAAGCAGGTTTTTGAAGAGAAATGGGGAGGGAACATTTGAGTTATCCGACTCGGGGAATCAGCCCTGAATTTATTTTGTTGGGAAATGGCGCAACTATTGAATTTTCTAATTGGTAGCCAAGAGGTTTATTTACATAAGACGTTGTCAAAAAAAGTACCAGGTTTTGAAGGATTTGAAGATTTTGTTTATGTCAATCAGAACACTATTGCAAATAAAAGCGGGAAGCTTGGGAAACATAAAAATGGGGAAAATGGAGACTACATACAAAGTTTTTGAAACGTATAGTTTTGATGAATATTAATATATTAATATAAGTATTTTGAGCAGTACAAGAACTAGCTGACACTAAACTGTGTATAATAACTATGGATGAATAGAAACGGGAATTAAATATGAGAAAAAATACCGCATTGAGCAGCTATCTGAATCTGAATCCCTACACACACTCTAACACACACCGTCAGTTCACTCTAAAGACGCACACCCACCACGAGCTTAGAACGTTCACATACTGCACGTAAATGTTGCTACATCCACAGGTATTTTTATCAGTCTATAGAAAAGGCCCTAGAAAATACGTCAAAATCAGTATTAGAAGAAAATGTTATGGATTCAGTTGACAGTTATTTGAAGGAGGCAAAATGCCCAAAACATAATGAATCGTTTGCAAAGATTATTGTCAATAAATATTGGTTCATGTGTAATAAGCTCGCTTTGCACAGCTGTCCTGCTATTCTGTTGAAGTTGCCATGTATTAAAATGTCTCTAATTCTCAGAACAATATGTGTAAACTGTGCATCGTCGAAGCCACAGTGTGCCATTTTTTTGTAGGAAATAGAATAGAACCTTTATTTCTATCATACTCCATATTTGAGTTTTTGAAGAAAATGCTATTAAGTAATAAATTCTGAAGACATAAAAATGAGCAACACTCAAATTTCTAGACAAAAAATGGCAAATTAGGTATTTCCTGAAGCAGCTGGTTTGGGCATTTCACTTTTAATTAAAGCGGGGAGTCGTTAACTGCGCATGCGTCAGATTGCCATAGCGTGTCATTGTTTACAAATACGCGTCTGCCCGTGAGCCTTTGCGTTTTTAGCGTGTGTTGTTATCGTCGCTCGGGACTCAATTCCCACGCGTGCGCAGGTTACCCTCCCGCTTTAAATGTTCTTGCATGTTAAAAAAGTTATAAATGTGTACACGTTTCGCTACATCATTTATAAAGTGTTTATCCTTATTGTTTAAAATATTAATAACTCGCATTTGTTTTTGTTGTCTTGGGTAATCTTGTGTATAACTAACATGACAACAAAAATGCTTCTCATAATTAATTTCCTTAATTTCACAAACTGAAGATTTTTAATCAGCTCTTATTTCTCAGTTTGGTCACTGCAGAACGATATAGCGATTTTGATTATTATCTGCAAGTATTTCTTTAGCAAAAAAATCTGTATACGTTCTCAGTTGATGGTTCGTGTATTCTGCCTTGTTGTCATTGTGCATGAATTATTTACATCTTACCTAAGGTGTGCATTTTCAAACCAAGCTTATAAGCTGTGCCCATTAGTGTATTTTATGGCATAAACCTTGTCTCATTCAATATTTATATCATTTGCCTAGTGCTTTCTATGCCAAGATGGTTATCAGTATTACAGTCATCAAATAATTAATTTCTTTGACCTTTCTACTTTTTTGTCATCTTCAATTATTTGTCAGATTCGAATTTACGTTCTGAAATTGTGATTTTGCTTGTGTTCTCAATCAATAATTTACGGTCAGAATTCCGAATTTAAAGAACAGCTGTCTTCGTTTATGATTTGTGATTTTAGTCAAATCATCTCCAATTTTGAAGACACGTTTAAATTTGGTATTTTATTTCTTAATGTTGTTTACAACTTTACAATGATTTGCTGCTGGTCATTTTATTCGGCAACCCCTTAACGTGCTGATTAATATATTATTGTACCTATCTAGTATTTGTTTCTACTTTATTACTCCTTATGCTATATTTTGTATTGTATGGCAGGCTGATGAATATTAATCAAATGTGATTAGGTCTGAGACTCGTGGCACGTGTCAGAGCGGCAGCTAGAAGTATTTGTTTTGTTTTTGATCGGAACAAACACCAACGTTCGAAATGCAAATCATTGAAACATTCATGAAGCAAAGGTTGCTATGCCAACTCATGTAGCTAGTGGGGTCAATGACATCAACCTAGGGGGGGGGTCACTTGCAAAAAGATGAGACAACATGTATATTACCGGGTTACTTTGAGTGTTTGAGGACCAGATATGTAAATATCATGAATCTGAGGTCACTTGTTCACTCAAACACAGTGAAGATATTTTTTTTCTTTTACTTTACACATGCTATATTTGTATGTGACGGTTCGAGCAAGTACTCACCAGGACACTCTAATTAGTATTCTACTAGTGGCGTCAAGTCGAAATGTGTACTTAAAACACAGAATGATACACTCCGGTGACTAATATATACAATTGTTTCATAAATGGTGAACCATCTAATTTTACAGTAACTTAAAAATGTCAGAAAAAGTATCAGAATTTAAGAGTACCATTCTGTGTCCCAGTACGGTTACTAAAAACCCGATCCTAGATAACGTTTGCAAACACATTATATTCTACTATAATTATAGGCGTTCATATATTATAGTGTACTCCCCATATGGGAAGTAAACATTAAAATGGTAAGGTGGTCGATGTTGCAAGTTTTCGGTTATAACTTACAAATTATCCAAAAAATATATGACCAGGATACAGCAATTTTCGTGAAGACATGAATGTTTATTATATATATAAAGTTTTTATAAATGTTTTATAAATTGAAAGCAACTTGACTAATCACAACGTGCTAAGATATGAAGTCGTAGTGAATTGGTAATTGGAACCCGCACTCATGGGTAGTGGGCGTCACCAAATGGCTCCACTAGCCAATGAAATTATTTGGATTTAAATGACGCGCGAGTCTTCCAGGAAAAACGTTTAATAAATGTTTATAAAAAAAAATATTTTTGTCTTTCTTGAAATTTTCTGTAGATTTTCTGTTGGAAACTTTCTCATTCTTTTCATGCGCCGTAATTTCCACAGTATCGTGATGGACTTGTTTATAAGAGGTTACACCAAATTCAAATTATGAACTACTGAGCATTTTACTGCTCATACTATATGCAAATGATTTTATCATATTGCGAAATCATTAAATTAAACGCCAAGTGTATTGTAACAATAACTATGTATCAAATGAAAATAATTTCATTTTGGAACGTCCAAAAAATATCAAAACCATACAGAAAACAGTAATATTAGTAAAAATCCAATTAAAATATTAATAGGGGATTTTATATTGATTTTATTTATATCATATTGCTAATACCCTATTGCACAATTGTATTTATAAGGATGAACGAAGATATTGTATTTCCAAAGATGCATTAAAGATATGACATATATTATTATTACTTGTTTATGTCATCGAGCAATAATTGGAGATATGAAGAAATAATTTTACCACAGAAATCAGTGCAATGCAGATTTTAATTATTTTCCGTGACATTTCGGGCATTTCCTGTATCCCTGTAGCAATAATGTTTGTTTAGAGAAAACAAAAAGTGGATGTTTTTAGAATAAGGGATTACAATGAAGGGAAAACAGATGATGTTTTCATTCGATACATATACATATAGAGGATAATTTAACAGATCAGACATGTAGAGCGATATTCAGTGTCGTTTGATTTGTACATTGGCACTCTGAACTATGGTGTTTATTTAAACTCATTCACCCATCTTTGTGTATGCTGGGAAAAGTTGGCAATTCACCCAGTACGCATACGCTGAAGACGTGGGCTACACAAAATACTATCCATAATACATGGCTTTGGGGTAGTTTAAAAAAAACTTTATTACACTACTATAACATCAGAGGATACAGTAAGGTAACTACAACCTCAGACCATTAATTTGAGTTAAAAAATAATGCTGAAGTTCAGTTAGCGAGTAAAAGCTGTTTATATGCAAATGTTTTCCGGGGACGGATGTTCTAAGGATACCAATTTTAGGATTACTTGAACCGTAAAATATTGGTTCATACACGTACTTATGGCACGAATGCGCTGTTCAATTGACACACCACGTGTCCAGGAGGAGATGTTTGTAGGCTGGGTTTCGGCGAGAGAAATTGTGAAATCTTCTCAGTCGGTATTTTCAGGGAGTATTTTATGTTGGCGTTTGTCTAAGTATTTACCCGTGTGTAGTTTATTTATTAGGTTTTTATTATACCTTGCTTACATGTTTAGTCTCTTACCCGCTTGTATTAAAGTCGAAATTCAGCTAAATTTGAAATGTTGAAGTAATCTAAGATAAGAGCAAGAAATAACTGAAGAAAGCAAACAAAGCCAACAACACAACTTCCTGCAGGCTACGCGCTCTCAGGCGATATGTAACGATAGAGGGCGTAAAATTACGTTGGCCCTGTCCGGGCATTGTAATTTTTGTTCTCGAAAAATAGGTTGAACAAAAACTTGTCTTGAATCAATGCCTAATTAATTGAATAACATTTGGTGGGACATACTGCGTTAACGTATGAAGAATATATTTACTTATAATTTGATTAGGTCTCAAAAAATCAAATTATGGTGATTATTTAAAATTCTGTACTAAACTCTGCCTGATCTGGCTGAAAAAATAATAATTCCGATTTTATTCAAATTTATAATCTTTGAGTACACAACAGTATCGTGTGTTCCAGGATGATGTTTTGTTTATGTCAATTTAATCTCAAAACACTAATATATTTCGCTATCGAACACCGGTTGCGAATACTACATTTTTTAGTGGGGCTCATCGTGAAACTGACATCAATCAATCAACACACCCTGGGACACTCGACTATCTCGACTGTCACCTGGATACTCGACTGTGAGAAAAAATCGTAAATTAGACAAGTATCATTTCGTTAGATGTAAACATAATTCATGACTAATAGGTTTTACTGTATTAAATTCACTTATAAAATAGTAATAATAATACCTAGATGGTACAACAAATATCGTGATTTTCTTTGTTTGCCTGTGTTTCCTATCGCATCTTAATTTTGACTAACCTAAAGGGCACAAACCAAAATGGCTGCGTCCAGAACAGTTCCGGGTGGGTTGGACCCATCGATTCTAAATTTGCCAAATTATCCCGATGTACAGATGCTTAGGCAGATTGCAAGAGACCAGTTAGTTCATCTGCTGGAAGTCGTGAGTGTGTTTTCATTATTATTATTACCGAATACGTGCTGACAGAGGCAAGCTGGGAAGTCAAAATCATTGAGGATTACAGTTAACCGGCAGTATAATGCAATTGTTTACATCTCGAGCACTATCGTCGGCTGACAGGGGAGAGGGTGGGGTGGGGGTGACTGGGCATTCATTATAATGTAACATACAAATCATGTAACATAGTGTTTTATACATATAATCTAATTTGCAATAAACAGATATACTGTATCATATACAAACGGCAGCTATATGCAGGTGGTCTTTGAGGTGGACACTAAGACAGTTTTGAATGTACATGTAATACAATCATACATTCATTTCCTTCGTGTCCACCTCAAAACCGTCTGCATATAGTGACGGTTTTCGGCAGTGCCAAGGCATAATGTATGAGAAATCTTTGTATAATGACATAAAGAACACCTGTCTTGTGTGATCTCCCTTTTGGAAATATTTTCACAGATTCGACTTTGTTTAGAGACCATTGTAATAATAAAACATTACGTTTATAGAACAATTTTTAATTTTCTCGTATCAAACTTATTTGACTGCAATGAATTTTTTTTTTTCTTGTAACAGTATGTTATTATTTTCTGGACAAATATTGTGCCAAATATATGAGTTGGCAATTCATAACACAGTAATCCAACTGTTATATAAAGGTATAGGTGGTTGCTCTACACAGATTTGATTATTTTCTGCTGTAATAAAACTATATTAGATGGAAAAGACACTCTGGCTGTCATCGACAGCAACACTCAATCAAAAACATCCATAGAAGCATTAACGATTGAAAAACTTATTGTGCTCTTATTACTAATAATAAAAGT